ACTGTTTTAATGTTTCATTGAATTGCGTTCATCTGCAAACGGATTTATGATTGATGAATAATTTATTGATGAGCGAGCGATACTTTTTTCATCAGATGTAATTACTTACAATCGCTCGTTACTGCACAATTTCGCATCATAATAATTCTCGAAAGTGAGTGCTCGTAACAAGGGTTGGCAACACTCTGTACAAATCACCGAAACATTCGGCGATCTATAGTTTCATATTGGGCGGGGGATGGCCCAAGTTAAATTTTGGCATTTGCCAACACAATTCTCAGCTTTAACTTGTTATCTTAATCTATGCTTATCATTGCATCTTATCACTTTGAGTCTGCCGTTACCTCTTAACTTCATACGGCATTGTTGCGATAAGTTGGCCCCGATCTTAAACGTATGCGAGGTTTGCAAGATGCTTATCGCAGAGTTGATCTTTAGTACATACTGTGCGCTGTTACAAATTATAACACTACGCAAAAAACAGTGCAATCGGCACCTGTTCTTCAGCACTGCAATTGACTTACTAACCTTATTCTTTTCAAACGATTGTATTTCCGATGTTTTTTCAACGATTAAATCGATTAATGTGCAGACAAATACAAGCATTTCGCTAGAGGCTTTTGCTTCCAAGTGATCAGTAGCAGTTGAGAATAACATAACATTTCATTTCACATCAACATTAAAACCAGTTCTTTATTTATACAATCCCTCGTAACTTCAATGTCATTATAATATCTTTTTTTTTTTGCTTCGCAGGTGTGTATATGTGTGTGCTTATACACTTTTTGTAAATGAACAATTGAGCATGTGTATGATGATAATACCATCCTAGTAACAACCAGCATTGGTGACTGTTAGAACATCTTTCTCCCATCCGGTTTCGTCGAACAGTAATCGATCAATTTATCTGGTTAATCAAATTCTCGATTGAATTTCTTCCTCATTTTCTTTTACTTCGAAAAAATCCTTTTATTCAGTTCTGAAATTCACTGCCTCCTATTATCAACACACATTGAACACTACACATCCGGTTTCTGCATTATCCATACTTGTCATGAAATTATAATATTTCTTGAAAGAGTTCTTCGTCTAGCTCCTCAATGATCATTTTCATGTGAAAGCGTTGTTGACAGTCAACAAACTGCCTCGAATGTTTGCTCTTATTATTTACTCTCATAAGACGCCTTAATCACGCTCATTCTTGCTTTTGTTCTCATAAACCCAATGCTATCATTTGTAACTCAATACCTACGTTTTGTATAATACCTTCTATTTGAGATAATATCCGCTACGGTATCTCACCGCCCATTATTTCATCCTCTCCACTAAGGAAGCAGGAGTTTGCGATTTTTCACTCAAGCAGGAGTTGTCAACATAAGATTGTCAACGTGATACGTGCATGTGCTATTGATAAATCTGAAGATCTGCACTACCATTCAAAAAAGTTACTGCAATTCGAAGAGTTACTGTGTCAAGAAATGTCCGTCGAAAGGATACTGTATTCGCTGAAAGTTCTCAATTTTCGATACGATGACGATATTACGGACCGACTTCACTATTTCGTCACGTCGAATGCACTCATTGTTGCCGCTATTCTCACCACCTATAAAACCTTCGAAGGTTCAGCGTTGGAATGCATGACACAGCCGAATTTCCCGAATTCGTGGATCACGGTGAATATACATACGTCTTCTTTTAATGCAATCCTCCTCAGTTCTATATCAGTATATATGCTCATTAGTGATTATTCTGAGAATTAGACAAACTATTAGAAAACGATATAAAAATACTGCAAATTATCGAAAATGCGAGCAAAATCGGGAATTCAGAAATCATTTACACCAGGTTAAGCAAGAAGCGTCAAATCTGATCTTGAGTTGAAGAGATCAGTAAGCTAGAAGATCCTGAACATATGATTTGCTGCGGTCGGTAAAGCGCTCATCAGCAACGTTAAGTGTTATGATTAGAAAAATGATATGCTGAAATGACTAATCGAAATGATTTAGATAATATTGTTCAGTAAGATAATCAGTTGTGTTGATTGATCCTGTCAAATAATTTCTCATCCATTCTCACATCGATGCTCTCTCTCATTTCGTAAGGCTGTGCTGATCGCTTTTGTTCGTTCGTTGATTGGTGATGATGCTTCATCTATGCTTCATCAATGTCAAATCACCATCCCCTATTATAAGAGACGTTGTGATAATATTGATATTAGCATATACATACTGTTTTGCTTGCATATGACTTCATTCAGTCTGTTTGTTTACGTTCCTCACACCATATGGCTTTATCATACCAAACTTCTACTGCCGCAACAAAAGTCACAATACCGTCACTTCATCAGATATCGTTATTTGGTTTCATCAATCCACTTAATGCATTCGTTTGTCTGTCTAATCGTCATGAACCCATCATTTGTTCTACTTTCATGAATCAATTTTCTTAATTACTCTTGTCTCTATGATAAGTACCGTATCATTCGACTTTTATCTACTTCAGTTCAATACATCTTCAAGCTGGCAGTATTTCAGAGTATTTTATATAGATGACTTGAAATTATTGGTTTCCATTGAACCCTATGTACGCCAAGTTTGTTGCAAACTATGCTTAAAATTTAAGCCAATGATGAGATTGAAACTTCGAAATGATCACTATCCATGGGATGAATCAGAATTCAGTTCCATTTGAAAATTCTCAGTTCAAACGGATGGCTTCGTACAGTTGCCATCAGAAAGGGTATTTTATTATAGTTGTTATTGTTGTGGATGTTCGTATGAACATCTTCATATAAGTAGATGATTTATGATAAAGACATATGCTGATATTATTGTGAGATTTCGATCTCAAGATATCGCATCAACAGTTTAAAGGTCTTTGTTCCTTTCTTTGTTCGTCGTAACACCTTTGGTGTGAGTCGCTCGCTGAGTTGCTTAAAGGGCGAGCTTAGAGATTGCTTAAACTGAATTGAATTAGAGATTTATGAATCATCCAAAAATTATTATTATTACAGCCTGCCACGTTGTATGCATTCGCTTGTATGATCGACAGAAGGGCGATGATTATTTTAACGTTATTCAACCAAAAACATTGTTCCATTCACCGTTCCATTCAATCGTTCACCTTGAAGTGTACACACCAAACAAACATTTATGTCATTATTAAATTTGTTATTATACATTTATATTGTTATTATATATTAATATTACATTCGATTTCATATACACCTACTATAATCAATCACCGTGCATCATCCATCTACTCGAATCGTATACGAATATACACAATAAAATAACGCCCCAAGTAGATCATAGCCTCAGCTTTCCTATAGGAAGTGCTGTCGTTCGCTCACAGTTCACAGTTCGTTGTCGTCAGGTTTACGGATTAAAGGGAGTAATCGGCTTTTTGAAATGCCAAAAACGATCATTCATTAATGAACGGATGGTTTCGTTAAGCTTTCGTATTCCCTTCTACTAAGCTCGCCCTTTTCATTGACTGTTGAACTTTCATCATACCTCTATCCAGCTTCTTACAAGAGCAAATTTTTAAACAACTCACTGAAAACTTTTCTATCTGCATCACTGGATTCTTAAATAGTATCACCGATTCTTCAGATGAATTTCGGTATTTTCTTTTTCGATGGCATCATGCACGATGAATTCTAACGAGACCGATCACATACATAACTGTAAAATATAATCGTGCTAAATACACAGTATGTGTTTGCTTATTTCTTCAGTGTATTTACTTATCTGTATCCATTCATTCATTCGAATGGATGCCAAATGAAATTATTCATAATTGCACGATGACACGGCATAATCTCTATAATGCGCGCGAGCGATTTTCGTAATGTTTCATTCACTCACTCATCTCACAACAATCAAGTCCGTCATTTACGAAATCACATGATTTCGTCAGAATAATTACAAATCTAACTACGTTTGCTACATTGAGCTAACGACCGCCTGAATATTAACCATTAGTACTAAGATATTTATAATTCCTAGATTAACATTTAAACACAACACAACAACAACAATGTCACTGATGTTTCGTTGAAATTAGCAGATGGAGTAGTCCCGTTGGGGTTTGGTTTCTCTACACCATGATTGTGTATTTTATTTTGATGCTGTTTGCTTTGAATTGTTTATTAATATCAAATGTCATCGAGCAAATGACATGTTACAATCAAATCAGTGGGCTCATTGCATTAAAATGATACCTTATCAGAGGAGTTTATAACAGGCAAGAAAATTTCAACGCAAAAAGATTCTAAATTTTTGAAATAACTCTAAAACTGATTTATTTGTAATTATCATGGCCGTTGTTCTTTGTTGTTGTCGATTCTAATCTAATCATGGCATTAGACAACTCTAATCCTCGTACTCTATCAGATACAAATACAATCCCCACATACCACATATGGCCGCATGGCACAAATAAGTGCAACGAATAAATTTTTTCAAGTTTGCTTGAGACACACCATATCCTCTTGTGTGTTGTTAAGTTGATCAATGAACTTTGTCGATTTTACTTTAATCTGCTCGTCGTAAGTGCATCGTTTCGAAATTTTTTGCGAATTATGAAATCATCAGATGAAGACTTCATGATAGTTTCCGTGGAAATGAATTGCAGTCGCTTCATTAAAACTTTTACATCTCAACATTGAGATGCTGTTGTTGTGAATGCTCATTTTTATGGATTTTCCCTAACAGAATTGCAGCACGATATTGATGCTGTACAACTCAAACTAACAAATGCACTTGTTTCACATGTTAATGAGTCGAGAAAAATCACATTCGCGATGCAATTGTTTCAAGTTTTAATGCAGTCGAATGTCTTTTCAACTTTCTGCCGTAAAACCCTCGTCGGCTTTACAAGTGCTTTGTGATGCTTTCTAATCCATCACTTTCAGCACTCTCAGCACCTTATCCAAAACTGTACCTAATTTTCGTTCACTTTCCCATGTTCCAAATTTTGATTCCAAAAGAAAAGGCAAACATATTATGTGTTAATCTCAAACGATGACCTATTTTGCGGAATCGTTGGATAATCATTAATGTTTGTTAATATAATCATAGCAATCACATTGGATTCGCTCGTCATTGTTTTAAATTGAAATTATCATTGTCGAGCGTGGGTTTGAGCCAGCAGTAATTTCTCTCATGAATGAATTTGTGCTCAACAAGTACGATGCAGAATCCGTTTCCAAATCGAATCATCTTATCAAATAGCTGTACCGTGTACTATATTAGATTGCCAGGAAAAGTTTCTTTGAAAGAAGGGTTTTCTCAAGCAGCCTTCTTTTCAACTGAAGGTGTGATCATTCAGTGTGTTCGGAGAATCAGTCGATAACTGTTTGTTAATTCCAGTATTTTACTGTGCATCGAAATCGAACCATTTTTCAATTTACTCAAAAGAGCACCCGCTATTCTCAAACTTGAACGTTGAGAAAGTGCGGCGGTGAGATTGTCATAGAAATGTTGAGAGATGAAATGCTCATGATTACGATTAACTGTACGATTGGCAAAAGCGATCTTGTTATTAAAATGCAAGCATGAATCATCATTTCCTTCATTTGTACCTCTTCAGCTTCGCAATCGACAAGATATCAATAATAAATTCGCATGCTTTCTATACGATCTACTCATATCATACTGCTAGTAATTGAATCTTCAGAAAATTGCTCTTCTCTAGCACTAAATAACGTTTTGTTGAATATCATCCATCATTTCATCATTTGCTCAAAACGTCACATACATCGATCGCACCAACAAACATCTAAAAGCATTTTAAGAAACTTCACGGCTATTTTTATATGCAAGTAACCGGCCCACTTTCACAAATCTCTCTCAGAAAGGCCACACTATTCTTTTTGGGTTACTGTTCCATCAAATAATGTTATACAGATGGAATGTTGTTGGAGGCATAATAATTCCATTAAAACGTTATTGTTGTTCTTTTTGGCTTCTTCAAAGTGAACGAATGACAGGTGTTAAGATTGGGTTGGGTTGAGTTGAGCTGAGCTACGTATTCGAAATAATTTTATGATAGACAAATTTCACTTGTGAACAATTTAAAGAACCGGATCCTACATTCATAGGAGTGCTGATGGTGGATTGCGTTTGCCTGTTACATTATTATCGTCTCGTAGAAATTACGTTCATTATTGCTCTATTTGATGATCATCAGCAAAAAGCAAAGTTGTTTCTTGTACCTATTGATCATGTTGACTGATTTACTCGCAGAAACCAAATCCTATTTGTCATTCCAGTGAGTAATCGCTACATTAATTTTATTTGCTGAACTAACCAACAACATCTACTACCAATGCCGCTCACTACAATAGTTTGTTGTTGCATTTGTTTGTCTTGTTTCAAATCGTAACAAAATACTCCTAAATAGGCTTGCTCTCACATCAAAATTCATATGCCATATGGAGTGTTTACTGAACTGATACTATAAACGAATACATCCGTGGTTGTTGATGATGAACCCTGTCTTATATATTTCTGATAATGGATATGTTGATTAATAGTACTTCGATGTAATGCTTATCACCAATGATTTCGATCCATCATTTGGTTTCGTGCGAAACTCACCGCGCTACGGAGAAGTTTCACACGAAACTGAAACCAAGCAATTTAATGTTGAATGCTCCAACAAACTGGACTAACAATAAGATGCTTACTAAATACTATAGATAAATACTATTGTCTAATGAAAAGTTCGAAATATAAACTCGTAGCATTGTACGCGATTGACGATGTGATCAGTTGAAGTGAATGATTATAGTGTTATGATCAGGTGAGATCATCAACTGAAGGATAAAGGCAACATGATGATCGAGAGTTTGATTGCAATGGTGCGATATCTGTCGCCAAGACAGGATGACGATGCTATCGACCGATTACATTACCTTTATACACCCAACATTCTACTTACTTTCGCCGTTCTGATCAGCTTCAAACAGTTCGGTGGTCGTCCTCTTGAATGCATGTTCCCCAACAAATTCCCTGGATCTTGGGAACAAGTCTGTATTACAGTAATAATCATAATAATGATAATGTATGCAACAATGAGGATAATAATCAGACTTTAATGTCATTTAATGCTCCTTTCTCTTTAAGCAAAGTTTGATGATGGCCATGAAGAGTTGGCTTATTTAACTTCTTGTACGTTATTGTGCNAGTGAAGAATGACTGAAGAGTAGTTTCAAGATGGAAGGGAATATTGCCTTTGAATGCTATCAATGAAATAAATCTTTTCAGTACGCTGAAAATTACTGTTGGGCGCAGGATACGTATTATGTTCAGCCGGACGTACATGTTGCAAATATCCGAGAGAATGAGCGATACACACCCGAACGGCAACTTTCTTACTACAAATGGGTGCCGTTCTTCTTACTACTTGAAGCTGCACTCTTCCGAATACCGAGTATCATCTGGAAATATCTCTCGATGAGTTCAGGTCAGCCAGACGGTCGCTAGTTTCTTGAGATCGTGTAGTAATTTGAGTAGCAGTTTTTCGGAAAGGATTCTTCGCAGTTTGTAAAGGAGTCATTTTTCAGGGATTCGAATCCACGAATGTGTTGAAAAAGCGATGGATCCAGGTAATATGGATGAATTGAACAAAGAGCGCAATATTGCATCACTTTCTAGGCATATGCAAAATGCATTAAGATTTCATAGACGTATCATACGGTGAGCTGATATTCCATCATCTCAAATAATTTGAAACTCATCAGAGCCGTTCGACTTCTTCCGAGATTTTAGATCGTTATTTCTGTGCGGTGGTATATTGGTTGTGCTAACTAATACCAGAGCTAGATGCTGCTGAAAGTTCCATCCCGCAGTGGGTCGGTGATTTGATAGTGCCATTGCCAGGATGGTTAGGTCACCTCCAAGAAACAAGACCATGCCGTCCAGTCCACGGATTATTCAGAACTGATCATACGATAATATATCCACCCACAACTTGGAAGGGTAAAATTTACGTTCAAGCGGAGTGATGGTAGTCTGCCCCTTTGTGACATCTGCTGAACCATTGAGGTCACAGGTTATCCCCACTCATAATGTTGCATTTCAATTTCAGTCAGAATATCGAAGTGCATAAGACGTTCAAATTCTTAAATATCCGCTATTCGGCATTTTTCATCTCACTGATGTATTTAGTCACAAAATCACTCTACTTGATCAATGTCCTTGCTCAGTTGTATTTGATGAATAAGTTAGTTACATCGCTGATTTCAATGCCTTCACCCGTTTTTTTCATGACCGATCAAAATATACACAATTTTTTCTTCTTATGATCATTTGAATCCTATTTCGAATGTATATCTAAGGTTTAAGTGTCTTTCCAGAAAGCCAGAAAAAAATGAAAAGAAAGTCAAAATAGTAAACAAAATCATTCATGAAATGAAAAGCGATAATTCAGATTCCTTCATACGGATAGATATGATTGGTATGGAATTGGGGTTGTCCGAGATATTTTAAATGGTACCGAATGGAGTTCATCCGGTTATTTTCCACGTGTTTCATTATGCGATTTCATGGTAGGCGTATTGTTTTTTTCGCGATACATGATCACTATGTATTGTACTGTTTGTTTGTGTCATTCATCCTAACTGTTTTGTAAATGTGAAATATAAGGCAAATTTTGCTGTTTGAACAACTCATATGTCAGTAATTTTGAAAATCGAAGACAAAGTAAATCGAGAAATTAAGGTTCGTCAAGTTGGTAATATTCAACGGTATTCGGTACAATGTGTGCTCGTCATTAATATGTTCAACGAGAAGATTTTCATATTACTTTGGTTTTGGTTTATGATGCTTGCTGTATGTACAGTGCTGTCATTTATCTATTGGTTCTTCATGCTTACATTCCCGTGTTTCAGTCGCTGGTTTATTTCACAGTCTCTGGAACTTTCTGAAATGAAGTTCGATCCAGAAAGTGCGTGCTTTTGTTCCATTTGATTGCATTCGTGCGCTTGCCTAACTGATGGACGTTTGACGTTTTCGTTAGTGACCATCGTGGCCACTTAAGCAAGCCGCGTTTTTTGTTGTACTTATTATAATTTACTATTCAACTTTTATCTAACACAACAGTTACCGCTTGGTGATCAAACACTGATCTGGAATGAATTCCAGCGCGTTCCAAAGAAGTTGAGCGTTTTGTATCGACATATTTGCATCGTGACGGTGTCTTCGTTCTTCGAATGGTCACTATACATGCTGGTATAATATTTGGTAGTGATTTGGTTAGGTCTCTATGGAGGCAGTTTTATGGGATTGAAGAGCAGGTATATGCTTTCAAATCAACTGCTCATTTATGGCAAATAACATTCTTCCCGTTGGAACACAAGCCTTTGCAAGAAAACCGAATAAATTCATTGTTCTCACATTCAATTTTTTCACGAACCAAAATGTCACTGCAGCAGCACTGTGTATCAGTGCATCGTCCTAAATATTTTCGTGTTCTCAACGCGTCACTTGACCTCAATTGCTTTTTTGTGTTGCAGTTATCAGAAGGAAGGACGTCGAAGGATGACAAAGCTGATAATCAGGAAAATTTTCTACGAAAACGAAAAAAACAAAGAGAATTAGTCGTTGACCTGGATTCTTATACGGCCCTAATACCTACGTCACCTGAAGATAGCCAGTCTCCGAAAACGCCTTCCGATGACTGAAATCGATTTCAGGCGGTCATCAATTTGCAAATTAAACTTTTGTGATGAAAATTCGTTGAACTTTTTATCATTCGGTAATTTGATCGCATCGATCTAATCTCCTTCAGTAATAATCGTAATTTTGCATTGATGAATTCAAACATTGTCTTTATCTGGTTGAAGAATATCAGTGTTATCAATTAACTTGAGGTGATCACATTCTGTGCTTCACAATAACTCCATAAACGTTACCTCACAAATTGACTGAATCAAAGTTCTGCTTTATAGCAACAATATTTTTTACCAAACTAATGCAGACCTCAGCCAGTTGTGATTATCAACAATCAAAAGCAATGCCCTTCTGTTGTGTGCCTTGAATGTGCATTATTATCATCACTTGTTGATTCAGTGGTAAAAGATGTAAATATTATTTCATTGTTTTTGTTATCAAACTGACCTTGTTGTATTTTCTGTTGTGTATTGTTGGTTATTTGTGAACGAAGGCATTTTATAATGCATCTTCATCAATGCATTCAAAAATAACTCCTTAAATTCACCACATAAATCTTCTTCGCTATGAATGATCATGCATTTCCGCTCTTGTAAAAACGAACATCACCAATAAAAAGTTTTGCTGATGTTATTGGTATTCAAGTGGAAACGAAGAATGCACTTTTCAACAATCCTAGGTAAATACGCGTCAGCGGATGTCTTATTCATGCAGAGAAGTCGATTGATTCTGAATCATTTCTCAATAAGAATTCGATCTCGTTAACTGAAACGATTTCTACGCTCTGTCGAGGGAACTGTATCACTAAAACGGCGTGCAAGAAGATGAAGTCATTCGTCTTGTGTATTTCCTTGTCATGAATTTAGCGGTTTGGCTGGTCAGCTGCAAGAGTTACACGCTTCACTCGCACGAATCTTATCCTCATCGTTCATAATCTTAGACTTGCTCTAATTGTAAATTTAGAATTATGCTTATGTATTGGTTCGAATTCGCGCATAGGCTCAAGCTTGTACGGAAAAGGTTAAAATTCTGGATGAGATAGAGCACTTTTACAGGCGTTGTAAATGGCTCAAAATTGAAGTTAAAACTTATGAACCGCCCGAAATGGCACAAAAAAGCACTGAATAGATTGAAGAAGGGTCATAGTGCTTTGGATTGCTGAAAGTCTTTGATTACTAATGAAAAGAATTAATGAAAGATTCAAAAGGCATTCAAATAAACCGATAGAACAGTCGAAACTAANAATGTCACACTCTTCCTACAGGTCTCATCTCACTCTTATTACAAACTCACCATCTTCTCGACATTGAAGACGTGGCAATGAAAGCTGTACTAGGTGGCAATCAACCATCTGCGGCTATTTCTTGACTACATCACGCATTAACGATGTGTTATCAGGGACGTTCGTCATTTATATTTGTCCATTAAACAATCTAATTGTGACTTTATTAAAGCATATTCGCCTCATATACCTCATATTAGTCATCAAGCTCATGCATTTGAATAGTTGGTAAAAGATACTAGAGGAGTGTACAGAAGAGACGGAAAGCTGTATCCAAGCAGCACAAGCAATGCACGAAACTTGGAGAGTGTCGAGATCGAGAACGTGATTGAAAGAGAGATGATTTGGTGGAGATGTACATGAACAGAGAGTGTTACAATTGAGCAACGGTGTACACATGTATGATGCTTACAATTCATTTAATGATACGACTTGTGTTTGTGACTGCATTTGATCTGCTCCATAGCCACTTCGTGACACAAGAATGGCCGTGCTAAGAGGCTCAACGTGAAAGCCTCAAGCCCACAACTCTTTCTTCAACGTAAACTTTTGCTGGATTTCGATCTTAAGTTTAGCTCTGATGAGTCTTAACCGAAGGCAAGGGTGAGGTTGTGCTTAAGGTTAGTGTGCAGCTCGAGCCCCATTCATAATCCCGTCAGCTACAAAATTGTCGATATTCATCAGATGGTACCATACATCAAAGTCGTATTTCTACATGCTGGCTCTGTCGGATGACATCAGACTTTCGTCACATGGAGTTCACATTTTTATCCAACCTGCGAAGTCATAACTTTTGACAGATGCATTCAACTGGCCACCTAAGTAATCCTATACGTGCATAGAATCACTCTGTTTTTTTGTGCCAGAAATAGTTTGTTTTCATAATCGATAATTTCTGACGACTTAGCATTGATAATTTATGTAACGATGATTTATTACTT